GGAAAGAGATACTGATGAAACAACCATCAGGGAATCAGCGGAGCTCTGCAGATCTGATTTCAATCGGTTTCTTTTTCTTGAATCAAAAAATCTAATTCAACAAATGCTACCGCTCAAAGGTTTTGGGTTGGTAAGATTTTTAAGTCTCTAATGCTCACCAAGGCTGCATTTATTTGATTCAAAATACAATAAAACAGCAATTTAAAATAAAAAAAATTTTCTCCCTATTTTATTATGTTTTAATGTAATTTATTCCTGTGATGGCAAAGATGAATTTTCAGCAGACATTGCTCCAGTGTTCAGTGTCACATGATCCTTCAGAAGTTATACGCTGAAACATGAATTCATATTTTTGTGTAAACTGTGATAATTTTCAGGATTCTTTGATGAATAGAGACCAGAAAGAACAGTATTTAGTAGAATTTTTTGTAACATTGTAAAAGTCTTTGCTGACACTTTTGAACAAATTAATGCATCCTTGCTAAATAAAACTGTTAATTTCTGTTTTTTTTTTTTTTTTAATTTCTGTTCATAATAGAAACAAAAGAAAATAAAAAATCTTACTGATCCAAAACTTTTGAACAGTAGTGTACCTGAAATAGCATTTAAACAAATAATTATAATAAAATATGCGTTAAAAATACTATATAATATATTGCGTTAACTTTTAAAGCTAAGGTTCAGCTAAATGCTTAATTGTCCCTCCCACTTAATTTTACTTAAAATTAAGTCAAATTAAAATGTAATATGCAAGTATATGTATCAATAATGATTGGATTATTTGCAATGGAAGGATGCAAATGCATAAAGTTGCTCACACAAGTAGAGCATGGTGCAAACAGCACCAAAGTCATGGGTTCAATTCCCAGAGAATGCTAGAACTGATCAAATGTACTGTATAATGTGAATGCAATATAGGTTTCATTGAATAAAGGCATCTGCCAAATGCATAAATGTAAAATGTAATAAAAAATGTAAAAAAAAAAACTCAACATACACTTGTGCCTGTGAGTAGCAGGGGTCACGTTCATACTGCATTGAGATGCGCTCTTACTCCCAGAAGTCTCTGTAGCAGAGTGACCTGATTGTGATCGTATTGCAGAGAGGGGAGTCCTCGGGGAGTTCCAGTCCTTTGTTAAGACATCTGGAGCTCATTACTGCCGCATGCTTTTACAAGGTCTTCACATCACGTACTGTAAATCGAGATATTAAATTCATAAGCACAGCTACAGAAAAACAGAGGAAAGAGAAATCACTTTGAACCTGCAAGTCTAAATAGATATAATCAAAACAACCACAATTCAAACTTCTGCAGCTCTCAGTGTGCAGAACAAAGAACAGACCACCCTCAGCCTGTACATGTATTTTATATTTAAATTATA